TTATTTCAGCTAGCTTATAAGCTACTTTTACCAAACACTTTTATCATATAAGCTAGCTTATAAGCTATAAGTCATAAGCTATAAGCTATAAGCTAACTTATCACATATAAGCTATAAGCTAGCTTATCAGCTATCAGCTAGCTTATCAGCTAGTTTTACCAAACACACCCTAACTTTATTAACAACGGATAGAGCAATGTTTTAAATACCGTATTGGTCATTATACCGGACGAGCCAACAATACGCGGTTCAACCGGTTCGACCGATTTTACCGTCTATTTTACCAGTATTAATAAATATTAAATTAATTTATTATTACAATATAAATAATGTAGAAAACTAACTTTAACTAATATTAAAATTAATTAACATCTAATAACAATGCAAACATATTACAATGAGTGAAAATATCTATTTTCACCCCATTTTGAAGTCTTGTTAAGTTTTTCACACCGTTCAATAAAAAAACTAAGTTTTTCACCCCAGAAAGTGCGAAGGTTATGCGAAAATTGTCGCATATTCATCACATAACTGTCCATATGCGAAGGATATGCGAAAAACTAACGCATAACTGTCGCATATCAATTGCATAATTGTGCAAAAGCATTGTGCGATAAATATGCGACAGTTATGCAATTGATATGCGACAGTTATGCGACAGTTATGCGAAAAACTGTCGCATAACTGTCGCATACCAATTACATAATTATGCGAAGGCATTGTGCGATGAATATGCGACAGTTATGCAATTGATATGCGACAGTTATGCGACAGTTTTTCGCATAACCTTCGCATATGGACAGTTATGCGATGAATATGCGACAGTTTTCGCATAACCTTCGCATTTTCTGGGGTGAAAAACTTAGATTTTTATTGGGCGGTGTGAAAAACTTAATGTGTCTTTATTATGAGGTGAAAAAGATTTTTTCCCTTACAATGAAGTGTAAAACTTTCAATTTTATATATAAAAAATTAATGAAAATATATTAAAAATATTTTTTTAAAAAAAATTGGCATAAACCGGTATTTTGACCGGTATTTTGGCCGATAAAACCAATATTTTCAGGTGTGAAATCGGTATAAACCGGTATTATGACAAAAACAGTATTTAGAGTGTAAACGTACCGGTCGGACTATCGGTATCCGGTATTACCGATAATACCGGGTATTTAAAATATTGGGATAGAGTATATTTAATAACGGAAATATATATATATATTAAAAAATAATATTACTACGAGTAATTTTTAAATGGAAAGGTAAGATTAAACACTTGTGTTAATATATATATATATATATATATATATATATAATAAGAGGTATTTTAGTAATTTAATATGTACCTCGAGCCGCTCGACGACCCGTTCGACAAGGCAAAATATAGGTTCGAGCTTGACTCGAGCCGCTCGAGCTCGATTCAAATTCGATCAAACTCGAGCTCGAGTAAGCCGCTCAATTCGTTTGCAGCCTTATTACTACCTACTTTTGTCCAAGAATTTTCCAAAAAAAAATAATTAAAAGAGTTGGTATTCAGCTTGGAACATCTTTACCTCCATTTGTATTTTGGATTTAATGTGATAGGATAATTGGAGCGGTCAAAAGAAACAAATCTATAGAATAAAGTCTACTCCAAACTGCCCGTGGTAAAAAGGATTAAAAAAAAAAAAAAAGTCTACTCCAAACTCGTTTTAAAATATGATACCAGTTGCAACACCCCGCTAACTTATTAAAATCAGAGTCAAATTTTCGCAAAATCTTATCTGAAAAATACTTATTAATTTGCGAAATCGTGATTCGGGATGTTACTGAAAAACTTTTCTTTTCTGAAAAACCCGTTATCTTTTCTGAGTTAAACTATTAAGAAAAACGGATTATCTTTAATCAAACTAGCATGTAAAACTGTACGAAGTCTGACAGGTAAATCGGATCAAAATCTGAAAATAAACATGCGATATAATTTTTATAAATAGGTTCTTTCAACCTTACATTTGATTATTTTATGCTCGAGCTCGACTCGTTATTATTAATTAACGAATCATACTCGAACTCGTTTGTTAAACAAGTCAAACTCGGTTTGTTAAGTACTCGGGTTGGAGTAGCAAAAGTTTGAACAGAGATCGGCTAATTTACAGCTCGACTCATTTACAGCTCTAAACATCCTCATGTTATTAAACTTTATTGACATAACTATTATTCTACTTTCTAGTAAGTTCATGATGAAAAAGATTGCTTTCACTTATTTCAATGGACATACGAAGACAAAATACAAAATATTGCATATCAATTGTGTAATGTTTTGTGTTAATATATATTTATAAAGCATCCAACATATCACTCAACTATTCTATATTATAATTTAACGCGTTAACTTCTTCCATTAAGAATGAAACACGATAGTTAGTATAAAATATTAAAATAAAATGCTCCTTTGGCCACGTCAACCACGTTTGCGACACGGTGGCTATATATTTTTCACAATAATGCTCTCATACTTATGGTGGACACATGTTAATATACATACTGCTTATGTAGCATGCACACATTGGTGATGTTAATATGTTAAAAAAATATATCATCAATGTATGCATGCCACGTAAGCGTTGAACATATTAACATGTGTCCACCGTGAGTAGAGAAGCATTGTTGTATTTTCTCATACTACAATTTTGTGGAAATTAGTGAAAATCTCGTGCGATGCACGAAAATTTCGTAATGTAAAGCATTTTTGCAAAATTTTATTTTAACAATGTATTAGCCCGTGATCCGTCTATATTAATATAAATAATATTTTAACATATATATTTATTTATTAATACAAAAAAATAATTTTTTTACATATTTTGGTTCATCATAGTACTCAAATATTATTTTATTTAAAACTTTATTGTCATATAATGCCAATATTATTTATAGCGTTTATAGAAGTAATATTTTTTTTTATATAATGATAAATATTTAATGTATATTATTATTATTATTTGATGCGATTGATATAAAAATATATAAGTAAATCTAATGTTTGTTAGGAATGTGATAGATCTCGATAATTTAGGTACAATAGTAGGATATATATGTACATATATATGATATGAATATCTTGAGATACAAAAGAATTTTTTATGTGATTTATTACCTTAATAAATTAGCCGCAATTACCTAAATTGTATCTTTAAAACATACCATAAAATGTTTAAATAGTTTTCAAAATTAGTAAACAACATTTTTTTGGCGGGAAATATTTACTATTTAAAAAATAATCAAACATTTTTATATATACTAGTACGAATCTTGTGCGATGCACGGGTAAGAAGTATTCATTAATATTTATAAATTACAAATTCTCATTATATAATATTTATAAATTAGAAATATGAAATCAATATGTAATATATTTACCTATATTAATTTGTTGAAAATGTTATATTAAATCTAAATTGTGCAAAATTATAACATGTCTATTTAAAATTAGTACACGACGGTATGGTGCAAGTAACTGATAATAAGTTACAACATATCCATTTCAAAATAGATGTCATTTTAAAAATTATATTCAAAAATTCGATTTGATTACAATATGATTTAAGTAAAAACAATTCTTTATATATACAACACACACGCGCGCGCACACACACACACCAAATAATTTAAAATGTTTCACGCACATTTACAAAGAATAATCGACAATAGTATTATTCAGATTTTCTTTCTCTAATATCGAGTAAAATGTTTAACAAATGAAAAAAAAATATATATTGAGATATCATTTATTACCATAAACGGATATATTGGATCAATATATAGTATACTAAATAACTCGATTTCATATATTACCGATAAAATTCAAAAAATGATATTCAGTTTAACCACAAAATTAACTGTCCAACGTACAAAACAAAAGCAAGAGTCACATTTATAAGCTTATTATATATAAAAAAAAAATAAAAAAGACCTAAAAAAGTTATTAAAAAATAATTAAAATAGAAACTACCATTAACACAATTATTTTAGAATAATTCTATAAGAAATTATAATTGAATAAATCAATCAAATTTAAATGAGCTGTCTTAAAAATGTAAATTTTTATTGTGTATTTATTTCCTTAATTATCCATGATTTGATAATTAAGTTTGATCTATACTTTCCATTTTATGCTCTTGCTAGGTAATCTATACTTATATAAAAAGCTATCTTATTTATTAAAATTAGTAGCAAAAAAATAAGTCAGCATTTAATGCAACTCATAAATAATAGTTTTATTAGTTTTCTTATTTTTTTCTTTAAAAATCATGCAATTTAATTTATAAATACTCTTTAATATACATATATATAGCACTTTTTGTAATAAATTTGAATAAAATGTGTTACTTAAATATCTAAACAATTTAAAAATTCAAATGTTTAAATTAATTGATAAACGGTTTATAAATATCTATTTTATTTAAATATGTAATTTTATTTAAATATGTAATTTTATTTAAAATAATTTTAAATATATCCAAATTTATGTAGAAAATCGTATTGATCCTACCAGTTCAACCGACTGGTGTTGACGGATTCAATAGCAAATATTTCATTTAAGTGAACTAGACTGATTATAAACCGGTTCTTAGTCCATCCGGTCGGACTATGTCCAACACAGTTTAATTTAAAAATGATGGATAAATCTTGATTAATTTATTTATATATTTAATTTATAACACAATCGTAATATTATTTTATTGTGCATCGCACGGCCTTGCACTAGTTGCTAGGTAATTGGATTGGACTAAATTAAGTGATTTTACATAATTGCGTAACTATAGTGGACTATAAATAATCACTTGCAGAAGGATTTTAATAATATTAGATAAATTATAAATTAACTATTCTAATTTAATCACTTGTCGAATGTTTAATTAATTTATTATATAATAAATTATATAATTTTAGTTGAATTTCTTTTACCAAATTACATAATTGATAAATTCCATATTTAGGTAATTCAATCAATTCTTATTTGAGTAATTAAGGTATCTTAAAAATGAATATGTCATATGTTATTATTTGAAATACACCATAAATTGTTAAATTAATTTGAGTAATTAATGTATGTTAAAAATAAATTTTTATATGGCTTAATTATTTTCTTAATTGATTATTTAAAATATATCATAAATTGTTAAATTAATTTCTCAAAATAGTAAATAGATTTTTCTTTTGGAGGGCAGTTATAATTTAAAATATAATCAACCTTTATATATATAGATCTCGTAATGCTTCCATAAAAAAAAAAAAAAGAATTAACAATGATTGACTCAAGTGATAAATAGTTTGATGTCCTTTAAGTAAAGTTTCGGGTTCGAATCTTGTGTGAAATGTGAAGGCTGAAAAACATTGTTGGGAAACTCTGCTTGCTAAAAAAAAATGTGATAAAGCTACAAACAAGTCAACGTTGTGATCAAATTTTCCGGCGATCGAGCTTATGGAGCATTATTATTTTACTCTTCCATGTGCATAGGATATGGGACGCCACATTACTATATTTCAAGTATCGGTCAGCACAATATTCCTATCAAATTAAATTGTTAATCTTCTCAAATGCTCGAGCCATTGCCTAACCAAGCCACCTTCTCTCTCTACAGAGGAACTCTTCAGTTCAGAGGAAGAACACAAACAAGAAAAAGAGGTAGTTACTAGCCATGGCCGTTTGTTCTGCTTCTGTTTGTCCGGTGTCGACGGGGAACTTTCGCTACACGCCGGGCAGCCGCCACGTGTCTGCTCGCCGGAGATTCGCCGTCCGGTCCGATTTGTCGACCAATGTCTCCGACATGAGAGTCAACGGCAAGTCTTAGGATTGATCGACTTATTCCAGCAAATTTGAGATTCATTCATGTAGTGTTTATATAGTTTTGATTTGTCGAGTGTAGAAAAGGGCTATTAACAGCTGTTTGTGCTGATTTGCAGCTCCCAAAGGCTTATACCCGCCGGAACCTGAAATTTATCGAGGCCCCAAGCTAAAAGTAGCCATTATTGGAGCTGGGCTTGCCGGCATGTCCACTGCCGTTGAGCTTCTGGATCAAGGGCATGAGGTATAAAAATTCAATCTTGACTGCGCGAGTGTGTGAGTGTGTTTTCTGGAGAGTAGTTTGTAAATGTTTGAAGAATATCGTGTTCTTGTTTGTCGCGGTAGATCGGTCTGTATGAAATCGGAACGTGTTGATCTTTGCAGGTCGACATTTACGAGTCGAGGCCTATTATCGGTGGTAAAGTGGGTTCTTTTGTGGACAAAAGGGGAAACCACATTGAGATGGGACTCCATGTTTTCTTTGGTTGCTATAATAACCTCTTTCGCTTGCTGAAAAAGGTAGAAGCGCGCGAGTGATTTAGCTTTGCAGGCATTAGCAAACCCAATTGTTGATTATCTCTTGTATATTGTTGCTTTTTGGAGATTGAGTTGGTCGGTTTTCGTATCAAGTGGAAAGTGATATTTGATTTTCGATCCCGTGTTCACATATTGTAGGTTGGTGCTGATAAAAATCTGTTAGTGAAGGATCATACTCATAGTTTCATCAATAAAGGAGGTCAACTAGGGGGTATGATGAATGCGTACACCTTTCTCATGGATCGTTATTATTTATCTTGGCTTGTAGTTTGAAAGAATTGTTTTCGGAGTTATTTAAGTTCATTCTAACTGCAGAACTTGATTTCCGCCTCCCAATCGGAGCTCCAATACATGGGATTCATGCATTTTTAACAACAAGTCAGCTCAAGGTACTCGCTTTTTATGCCTGATTCAACTGTATTTGCTTTGTGCTTTTGGTATGTATGCGCCCTGATCTATCACAGAGGTCCTATTTTTCTATAAGAGATCATTTATATCCAAATCAGGCAACATCATCAATTAACAATCAAATGTTTACTTTCTGTGTTCTTGTTAAAATCGACAGTTTTCTGTTTGGATTCCGGTTTACTACAGTTCTCGACATTATTTTCTCCAATTATGTACTTCCAGACCGGATTCTACCAACATTGACAAACGCATTATGAATGCCACTTAATAGATAAAAACTGATGAGTTCTTCACCAGCTTGCAATTTCTCGAAATATATCACAGTTATCTCTTATATGAGTTATTCTCTTGGATGACTTAAAGTTTAATCAACCTATAGTTTTATTTTGCAGTCTTTTAAACAAAAAAATGTTGCACACGTTTGTCATGTTGTCGACTGTAGTATTATTCTTCATTTTTCGGCACAAGTGTTCACCAAACCTTGCGATTTCATATCATGAAGTTAATTTGTCCTTTATTTGAAATAGATCACACATAAACCTTTTACTCTATCATTCTCATAGTAGTTGACGAGAACAAATTATTTATGTGGTTCATCTAAAATCCTATTTTCCACTGATTTACAGGCTTATGACGTGGCAAGAAATGCGATGGCTCTCGCTCTTAGTCCTGTTGTAAGGGCTATTGTTGATCCAGATGGCGCAATGAGGGATGTACGAGATCTAGATAATGTGGGTTGCAGTTGTTTTTTTTACTTTATCTCTTTCTTTTTTATATCATCATCTTCCCTGTAAGAGCATGTTCTTGAAGTAAAACTATTCTAATTATTATTATTGTTTTTAAGAACTAAACTCTTACTATTAATTTTGCTAACAGGTAAGCTTCTCTGACTGGTTCTTGTCCCGAGGTGGGACCCGCACAAGCATCCAGAGGATGTGGGATCCTGTGGCTTATGCCTTAGGGTTCATCGACTGTGACAACATTAGTGCTCGTTGTATGCTTACTATATTTACACTTTTCGCTACAAAAACCGAGGCTTCTCTTCTACGCATGCTTAAGGGCTCCCCAGATGTTTATTTGAGTGGCCCCATAAAAAAATATATCATGGATAGGGGAGGCAGGTACGACTTTGTGTACCATGTGTACGAAAAAATATCCGAGCGTGCTTTTTTACTTGTCTGGGTATGGTATGAAAATAAATTTTGTGCTTTGTTTATGTATTAAAGGTTCCATTTAAGGTGGGGTTGCAGAGAAATTTTATATGATAAATCTTCTGATGGAGAAGTGTACGTAACCGGGCTTGCAATGTCCAAGGTACAATGCTGCTCAACATATATGTTCTAACTGATCATTAAGAGGGCTCTAAATATCTGTTTTACTCTCGCACAATATTACATGAATGCTCAATACTGACCAGTTATCAACATATTTGCTACAAATATATATATACTAACCAGTCACTGTGAACTAGTAGTTCTGAGTGATAGTGTGATGTGAATTGCAATTACAGGCTTACTGTTAGACGTGTGTCTATTTGTTACAACACGATGACTAATGGCTTTTTACTCTTTTGTTCAGGCTACTCAAAAGAAAACTGTAACTGCCGATGCATATGTAGCAGGTTTGTGTCTAAACCATATCTAATTTGATCTTCTTATCCAACATTCTGAATAAAGTTAAATGAAAAATTGCAGCTTGTGATGTTCCCGGTATTAAAAGATTGCTACCACAAAAATGGAGGGAGTTTGAATTCTTTGATAAGATTCATGGATTAGTTGGTGTCCCAGTTGTCACGGTTCAATTGAGGTATAATGGCTGGGTTACTGAGTTAAGGGACTTGGAAAATGCACGGTGAGTATAGCGTCTTACCATTTTCTTTCTAAAAAAAATAAATCTTTTCTGATTGCTTCGATTCTTTTAGTTCATTTATTCTTGATTTGTCGTGTTATAATTTGCCTAACACTGTTGTGTATCAGGCAATTAAAACGAGCAACGGGTTTGGATAATCTACTTTACACTCCAGATGCAGATTTCTCTTGCTTTGCAGACCTTGCACTCACATCACCCGAGGATTATTACCTTGAGGGCCAAGGCTCATTGCTTCAGTAAGAATTTTTTGTTTTTTGTTTTATCCCTCTCAATGTTTTTGTCCATACATACAGTCATTTAAAAAAGGCAAAATTGCATATAAAGGTACCACCTTTAAGGCTTTTGCAATTTAGTCACCACCTTTTTAAATCACCACATTTCGTATGATCTGCAGATCGAAGCATATATTTAACTTCCGTTAGATTAGAGTTGACTTGGCACGGACGATAAGTTTACGTGGCTGACTCGGCACGCAGACGTAAAGTCTAACGGAAGTTAACTTTATGATTTGATCTGCAAAACATATGAAAGATGGTGATTTAAATGCAAATAGCAAAATTTGGTGATTAAATTGCAAAAACCTTAAAGGTGCTGCCTTTATATGCAATTTTGCCTTTAAAAAGAAAAAAGAAAGTAAGAACAAAAAACAGTTTTAACTTTTAACCATATAGTGGAATAACATATTACTCCAAGAGATGTATTTAACCGAGACCTTGTTGTTCGATGATCTTCAACAGATGTGTGCTAACTCCCGGGGACCCGTACATGCCTTTACCAAATGATGAGATAGTGCGGCGAGTTTCGAAGCAGGTAAGGCCTACTGGGCCTTTTATCAACTCTTTAAAGAAA